TTACATTTTACAGCCCTAATTAAAAAAAGGTACAGTTAATTTCAACCAACTGCAGCTGCATATACATCTCATTAAAAAGGCACACACAATTGCCCTGTGTCATCGGCACAGTATAAACAGGTACAGATAAAAGCGTGTTTCAACCAAAGGTTTTTCATATGTGCATTCCATATAGCTTTCGATTTGTTAGTTGTCTGCTGATGGGAAATTACATTGCCTTTGACAACAAAATATGGCCAAAAAAAAAAAAAAAAGTAATCATATTTTGAAACTGAGACAGATTTACAATACAATCCTATATGCATGTTCACATGGAAGTGCCAGTGGCCTTATTCCCAGGTGTGCATACACACATTACAGCCTCAGTTCTCTTACTGGTTTATAGACTGTGTCAATTCCTAAATCAGGTTCTAGCCAATATTTTTGGCATTCTCATTATCTGTGCCTGGATCTTCATTCCTCTGTTGATTTCAGTGCTTAACATAAGCTAAAATTTAGCATCAGTGATCATCACCATTGTCATTATCTTATTCTTATTCTCCATCACCACAGGAAGGTACATTTGTATAGCACTCTGCAGTTTGTGCAAGTCACTTTGCTTATCCTCAGTTTATTTTGTAATCCATACAACAATCATGTAACACTTGAAAGATTTGGGGGGAAGGAGTCACAGGGTGCTTGTCTAACTAGCTTGTCTAAAACCAGCTTGTTCCTATATAGCATTTCCCTTGTTATAAACCCATAACACAGACTCCTCTGGCTTGTTTGAAAGATTGGAGGACTGGTGCCTTTACATTTTATGCATTTGCAGTTAGTAATGAAAATAGAACAGAGACTAATGTTCTGTACGTACAGAGGCTAATGTTAATTGTGCTTCAAAGATTGTTTCCTCCCATCTAGAGATCATATCTAAAATGAGAGCAAGGTCAACATTTCCTATATTTCCTTCCAGGAACAAACCTTTACAGCCATGAATATGAGAGCAGCCAAACTAGGCCTCCATGGCTATCAGGTCTCCTCTCTGCTGCATCTCACTGCTCCTGGGAAGTTCTGGAAATGGCCAACTGAGAAGGTTGGATATAAGAAAGGTATACAAGCAGCAGACTGAGTCCAACTTACTGAATATAGACAACAGATTGTGTCCAATTTATTGGATACATGCAAAAGAGTGAGCCCAATTTATTTGTCTGGGGACATTCCAGATTAGGGCTGCATCCGCACCACAGAAATAATCCAGTTTGACACCATTTTAACTACCATGACTCAATGCTATGGAATTCTGGAACTGTGGTTTTGTAAGACACTTAGCCTTCTCTGTCAGAGTGTTCTGGTGTTACATCAAACTACAGTTCCCAGAATTCCATAGCACTGTGTCATGGCTGTTAAAGTGGTGTCAAACTGGATTATTTCTGCAGTGTGGATGCAGTGTAAGTCTAAGAGAAGTTGTCAATTACACTGCACAACATTATAGAACATATTGGGATAAGCAAAATGGCAAGATCTAGGTTCAATTTTCATGAAGTTAGCCATTTGTGATGGAGAACATACTTCTACATAGCTGATTTAAAATACTTTGCTGAATAAACAAAAACTAAGGCACTAAACTATTTTGGTAAACAACACGTGACTACATCACTGTGTTATTCATGAGTTGCTGTTGTTTTCTATATACACACACATTAACAGGGCAAAGGGCAAAACCTGAATGTATACTATGGATAACATTTGACAGGTGTTTCTTTTCAACATCTGAAATTCGCTGGAAAAAAAAGACTTTGTGTGCAAACAACATATGGAAAAAAGTATACACTGTCATTTGTAAAAACAAAAACAAGTTCTTTATTTTACTTATCTACTTATTTTTTTAACCCTAACATAACAATTTGGTCTACATAAGCAATTTCACAGATTTGAAATGAAAAAAAAAATACTGAAAAAATAGTCATGAAAATGGAATGCTTTCAGGCTTATATATTTTTAAAGAGGTATTAATTTTAAAAAGAGAGACACTAAAGTTTAATTGCAATCCCAGGAAAAAGCTTTTCCCTTAATTCAGTGAGAAAAATTATTGAAGCAAAAATTGCTTATCTTGGCTCTTTTGGAGTCTCAATGCATTTCGTAATTCTATAGATCATTACAGCTCTCAGAGTGAGATGGATTTATATTGATTGAGTGAGAAGGTGGGAGAAATGAAGGTTTAAGGGGCTTTTCTAAAGAGACCAAGTACTCTGTTATACAATAGTGATATGTTCCTCAGGGGTCACTCAAAGCCAGAGCCTCAGGCTCCAATTTCATAATGCCCAGTCAAAATCACTGCAGAGTAATTTCTGTCTTTCCTTTTACATTTTGTGCCTTTCCCCCAGTATTGATTTTTACTATAAAATGCATCTTGATAGCAAATCCATGTAGTATATAATGAATTTCTGAAGATAATGATAAGAGTTACCACATTATACAGGAGACACAAAACTTAAAGGCAAAGAAATTAAAAGAGGTGTAAAAATATGATTTGCATGAAGATTATGCTTGCAACTTACCCCCATGTGACATGAAGATGTCCCACATATCAGAGCAATTCGGGATGTAATTGGCTGGTTTTCACATGGTAAGTTATGTCCTTTCACATTAGCTCCAATCATGCCTGGTATAAACATATAAAACAAAGAAAACCTATTTTTAAGGCAAGACATAATTAAGTTGTAACACTGAGAAAGTTGCCAGATTGTGTTACTGCAGAAGCCAATTTTTCTTCTGCTCAAATACATTCCTCCACAAACACACTGGCTAATCGGATAGGAGATGAAAACAAGCAACACTAATCAGATTTCATAGCCAGACAAAGAGTAGGCCTAAGTTTGATAACAACTAGAACAACCTCAGAAATGACTATAAAATAGGCATGGCCAACTTGTGACCCTAAATATGTTATTAGACTGAAAGCCCCAGAAGTCAACATAGCTGATGGTAAAGGAGTTACATTAGAACAATACTGGGAGGGCCATACGTTGGTGGCTTTAGTTGGCATATGCATACAGAGTGCATGTTCTGGAACTGAAATAGAAAATGAGGGGTTTCTATGGATTGCACTTGTCCCTTCTAGTTTCTGTAGGCAGCTGGCTGACCAATATGGGAACAAAAGTGAGATAAGCCTTTTGTTTGATCAAGTAGGGCTTTTCCATCCCAGACAATTTTTCTTTTATCCATGCATATTTTGGGGTTCATAGGTCATGAAGGGAGAAAAAAAAAAGGGAGAGAAAAATGAATAAGGTGGTGTTGGTATGTTTTGTTTGTTTAATGACAAGGAACATATCAGCATTCCCCCTCCTGCCCAGAATCTTGTTATTGCAAGATCATATTTCATCTGTGATGTGCAAAACTGTGCAACAGTGGCAAGAAAGGACAAGCAGAATCCACCATTTCCAAGCTGCCTTTCCCTCCAGTGGTTGGAGGGCCTGTGGCCTTTGTCCCCTTAGTACCACTATGAACATAGGTATATCAATGTAGTGTACCAGCAGGATTTTGGCCATAATTTGTACCCAAAATTGGTACAGTATATCTGGTAAATCAAAATATACCACCATGGACCAAAAATCCCATACCTCATGGGAAGGCAAAGCACAGCCCCGCGTTATACTTGTGGCCCTGGTCCATTTCCATGCTCTCCAGACCATCTTTTTTCCTAACAAAGAATTATCTTTCCTGGAGGCTTTTTTAAAAAAGATGGATTATTTAAAAGTCCACTTTTTAAACAGGTTGCAAAGTTGCCCTACCCTTTTAATATCAAAAGATAACTATTTTCCCAAATCAAAAGTGAATTTCCAACTACTGCTAGTTTAGTTATTTTGAGGATGGGGCTCCCGGGGGCAGTGTGCTCCCTCCTCACATGGTGCCCTATCCTTTTCCTGATGAGGAAAAGGATGGGGAGGAGCACACTTGGGGAGTGCAGAGACAGCGTGGGGGAGCACAGGGGTGAGACCACATGAGGGAGAGTGTGGGGATGCTGCAGGGGCTGGAAGCATGCACAGGGACATGTGGCAGAGCACATGTGGGCGGCATGGGGGGAGGGCCCAACTGGATGTCACCCCCCCTTCTGTGGTGTCACCCAGTGTGGGCCACATCACCACATCCCCCCTAGTGATGCCCCCCCTCTCTCTTTTTTTGGCCATCTGTGCAGCTAGCAGGGTATGGAAGAGCAGAAAGTGGGTCACCAGACCAGCTACTGTTACCTTTCTCTACCCCACCTAGACCATGAATTATCATGGCTATATCTGGATCAAAAGAAGCAGAAATATGTACCAGTTGGCTTGCTTTCCAAGATACCAGCCTTTAGCTCAGGGGTCCCAACCTGGGGTGCCCACACCCCCAGAGAGTACGAGATGGAATTTCAGGGGTGTGTGACAAAGAGGGACTTGTGTCCTGGAGTGACATGTCACAAGTCATCACTCATTTTTCCTGAATAAATTAAAATCTAATTGCTCAAATTAGATTTCCATTTTATGCACTGAGTTAAAAGCTTATTTTTTAAAGTTACATTTGTTCACCAGCAGGACTGTATGTGGTTCAATTGTGGTTCAAAAATTAGAAAATATGCTTCTTCCTCTTCAAATGTGATATTACTTTTATAGGGGGTGCAAACATTAATGTAACATTTCCTAGTGGTGTGGGGCACAGAAAAAGTTGGGAACCACTGCTTTAGCTATTGGAAGATGTACCAATGTAGCAAATAAATAAATAAATAAATAGTCCCAAACACATGCCACACTGTAGAGAATATTCTTCATTGTGTCTATTATAATGAATTGTAATACTGGGATCACATTAACCAAAATAAAACACCTTTAGTTACTTTGTTTCAGTCATATTAATCATTCCTACCAAAATCAGAATTCATTTATGTTCAGACATATATGTTAAAATGTGCAGAAAGCAACAATTTGTTTAAAAGGTGGGTACTTTGAGCTGGTAGTTGGAATCTGCTGAAAAATTGTGACACACATGGAGCCAGCATGGCATAGTGGTTTTAGCACTGGACTTTAACTCTGGAGGCCAGGGTTCAAATCATCACTCGGCCATGGAAACCCAATAAGTGATCTTGGGCTCTTGGTTTCAGAAAACCCCATGATAAGTTCACTTTAGGGTTGCCATAAGTTGGAAATGACTTGAAGTCACACAACAACAACATCATATACACATGAGGCTTGTTCTTTCATGAAGAATAAAATCAGTTAAAACATTCTGCTAACACATTTCATATTTTTATCAAGTGAACAGATGTTCAACAATGCATTAAGCTTACTGAACAGAGCAGGTCAGCAAGGCATTTCCTGTACAAAGAGGTACTATAATTAGAAGAGTACACGGATGTTTAAAATACTTCCTGGGTAAAATTCTGTTGGTTAGTCCCAACTACAGTAGACCATTGAATCAGTGGCTGGTTGATGAGTTAACACAAAGGTAACTCCAATTGATTCAACTATTCTACTCTAGTCAAGATAATTCAGGGCACTGTTTCTCAAGCTAGAAACATAACAACAACATATAGCAAAGTGTATGAATCACAATGTTATTAAGAAATCATATGCCAAAGTGTACATTAATCATACATAACATGCACATATGTACCAAGAAGTATCTCATAGTTGTAACAATTAACATTCCATGGCCTACATTCTGACCATCAAAATGTTGTTAATACCACTCTTAACTGTCTCATGGAATTTGTTCATGGAAAACAGACATATCAGTTGCTATCAATCATTATGATTTCATGGAATTTTCCGAATCAGAAGCAGTCTAAATACTGAATAACAGCTGAATTCAAATTGCTGTGGATATCACAACAGGGTAAACCTGTTGACTTCATGATCTGCAGTGGATTTTAGAAACTTGTGTCTAGCCAGTATGGGTTGCCCAATGTGGAAAGCAGAATGCTGGGCTAGCTGGGCTTTTGTTCTCAGTGATTGAAACATATTTGATATTTGGAAATATTATTACTTCAATCTTCATATTTGTCTACTAGAATGTAGGAAATATTTAGGTCATCTCAGGGGTGTCAGAGATGCTTTTATTAACACTCCTGAAATAAGCTTTGTTTAATTCTTTGCCTTAATATTTCTGAAATACATTCACTGTGAAGACTCCTACAACAAACAAAATAGCTTCTGTAATACAATTTTCTCTCTTTCTCTGCAAGGAGTTCCATTCAGAAATTACAGTGTTAAGCCCTCCTGAAAAACAATTCCAGTTAAAATTAGTACAGCGTTTCAAAACTTATCTGGAGTTTCGAAATCCAAATGCTCTAAAAATCAAAATGTTTTTCATGAGTGGCTGAGATAGTGACACCTCTGCCTTCTGATGGTTGAACTTTGTTTTATGAACACCGTTATTAAAAACGTTCACACTGGAAGCGATTTCAGACCCGACTGTGTTCAGTCTGAATTGTGGCGAATCATGGTGAAGTGAAGCAAATACAAAAGAATCACTCTTTTTGAAGACACATTTTTTGTGGTTCTTTTGAAAAGAATCTCTTTGCAAGTGTGTTCAACAAATGTGAATAATGTTCTGGTCTCAATCGTATTGCACTGGAGGGGAGGGACTAGGGCAGACAGTTGGCAGAAGGATGCCCAACTGGAGGCTCCCTGTGCAATGAGAACTCCAGGGGAGGCTGATGGCCTCCTTCTCTAGGATCTGTCCTCCATTTCAATCTCCTCCTGCCCAAGAAAAATTTCAAAAAGCCCC